AAGCTAGTGAATTTGAACAGACCAAATGGGAGCAATGTTTATGCAAATGTTTCCATAGACTACAACAAGGATTAGATCATTGATTCAGGCTGCTTTCATCATGCAATTGGAAACGTTTTGTTACTTTCTGATGTTCAACCGCACGTGGAAAAAGAATCATTGTGAGGCTGATAATTCATTGCTTCCTGTAGCTAAAGACATGCATTTCAATGCCAGCTAATATTTCAAATGATGATGGCATTTATCTAAAAAATGTTTATCATGTTCCAGGTTTAAAAAAGAATCTCGCCTCGGTCTCTCAATTAGTTGATTCTGGGAGGTATGTTCTTTTTGGTCCAAATAATGTACATATTCTTCCAAATGTAAAACATATTGTTGCTGATATTTTACTTACTGGAAAAAGGAAAGAATCGCTATATGTTTTGTCTGCAAGTGATGCATACGTTGAAAAGACAGGCCAAAATGCAAGTGCAGAACTTTGGCATGCTCGGCTAGGCCATGTTGGTTATCAGTTGCTGCAGAAAATCTCAACAAAGAAACTTGTCGATGGAGTTCCTCTCTTTAAATATTTTCATCCTAATGTGGTGTGTGCTTGTTGCCAATATGGAAAATCACATCGTTTTCCTTTCTCAAATTCAAAGAATAGAGCTTCTACTGCACTACAACTGGTTCATTCAGATCTTATGGGGCCAACAAAAATACCCAGTTTTGCTAGTTTTCGTTATGTGATAGTTATTGTGGATGACTTCTCTCGATTCACTTGGGTATATTTCTTGGAACACAAAAGTGAAGCTCTCTCCAAATTTATTCAATTCAAAGAGCAGGTGGAGAAAGAATTTGGGCTGTCAATACATTGTTTACGCACTGATAATGGAGGAAAATACATGTCCAATGAATTCCTTGAATAATGTAGGGAGCATGGGATTCGACGTCAAATGACTTGTCCAGAAACTCCAAAACAAAATGGGGTTGCTGAGCGCAAGTTGGCACATCTAACGGCTACATGCTTGTCATGGTTGCATGAAAAGAACTTTGCAAAGGAGTTGTGGGTAGCAGCTATTCAATCTGCCTGTCATGTTATAAATCGTTTACCTCCTTGGCCAGGGATAGAATCATCCCCTTTTGAAGCATTATACAAGCACAAACCAAATGTGAGTTATTTTCGAGTTTTTGGTTCAGTTTGTTATGTCCATATACTAAAAAATAATCGGACTAAACTTGATCCAAGAGCAAGGCATTGTATTTTTGTTGGTTATGATACTCATAGGAAAGGATGGAGATGTATGGATCCAGACACAAAGAATGTTATTGTTTCTCGTGATGTAGTGTTCGATGAAGTGTCATCACCTCAAGTTGATAACAAGGACAGTAGCACAGTTGATCTTTGCAATTTTTTTAGTGATGTTGCGACGGTGAACGGGGGAGCAATACTATTCCATCTGGAGAAAATATTCAGCAAGATGAGACAGTTGGGACTGCAATTCGAAGGTCTTCTAGACAAAGAAAACAACATGATCATCTAGCTGATTATGAAGTTCAGTTAAATCATTGCTCTGTTTTGTCATGTTTTTTTTATGGGAGATTTATGTGAAAATGAGTCGATGTCTTACAATGAAGCTCAAGGTGATTCTAAATGGGAAAAGGTAATGCAAGGGAAGATGTCAGCTTTGTACAAGAACGGCACTGGGGCCTCGTTCCAAAGCCAAAGAATGCTGATCTGGTTACTTGTAAATGGGTTTACAAGTTGAAGAAGAAAGCTTATGGCACTATTAATAGGTATATAGCCCGTCTTGTTGCTCGTGGTTTCTCTCAACAATATGGACTAGACTACGAGGAGACTTTCAGCCCCGTTGCTAGAATGCTGACTATTTGAACAATTATTTCATTGGCTGCTTACAAAGGTTGGAAATTATGGCAACTAGACGTGAAGAATGCATTCCTATATGGAGAGCTAGATCGTGATATCTTTATGGAGTAGCCACAAGGATTTATCTCTAAGGAATTTCCTAATCATGTGTGCCGGCTCAAGAAGTCCTTGTATGGCCTCAAGCAAGCTCCACGTGCTTGGTATGGTAAGATTGCTCAATATCTTAATTTTGTGGGTTTAAGTCTTCTAATGCAGATCCAAGCGTATTTATTAGAAAATCATCTGCAATGTGCATCATGTTGCTTCTTCATGTGGATGATATGATCATTATTGGAGATAACAATGTTGAAATAACCCGTCTTCAAGATGCTTTGTCAACTCTTTTTGAAATGAAGAGTTTGGGTGAAGCTAGCTGTTTTCTTGGCTTGGAAATTGAAAAATCTGATGGTTATTTTGTCTCTAAAAAAGGATATGCAACAAGATTACTAACTCGTTTTTGTATGGGGGAGTCCAAAGAAATGACCACTCCAATGGAACCTTACCTGAAGTTATCTAAAAATGAAGGAAAGCCATTGGAAGATGCAACACCTTTTTGACAAATTGTTGGTAGTTTATTTTATTTAACTATCACAGGACTAGATATTGTATATTCTGTTGGAGTCATTTCACAGTTTATGGACAATCCATGTGAGGGTCATTTAATTGCAGCAAAGAGAATTTTTCGTTATGTAAAAGGACGCTAAGTTATGGATTGATGTACAATCAGCATATGTCATTTTCCTTGAGTGGTTTTGTAGATGCAGATTGGACAGGCGATGTAAATGACAGACACTCCACAACATGTTTTTGTTATACTACAAGTTCAGCTGCAATTTTATGGTATAGTAAAAAGCAAACTACTATAGCTCTTTCAAGCTGGGAAGCAGAGTATATAGCAGCTACTATGGCAACTCAAGAGTGTCTTTGGCTTAAGAGGCTCATTCAAGAAATGGTTTCTACCTTCAACTACTCAGTTCACATTTATTGTGATAATGAAAGTGCAATAAAGCTTGCTGGAAATCCAGTGTTTCATGCACGTACAAAACACATTGAAACTTATTTCCATTTTGTTCGAGAGAAGGTATTAACTCAAGACATTGAACTGCAGAAGATATGAACTGAAGATAAAGTGGCTGATATCTTTACTAAAGCACTTGCCAAAGCTAAATTCGAAGTATTTCGCAGAGCTCTTGGTGTAATTGAGAGTAAGTTTGCACTAAGGGGGAGTGTTACAAATTAGTGCAACTTACTGCTGCCATTTCTAATGTTGAATGAGTCAATTGTTTTTCAATAATTTTAGGAGTCGGTTATAGTGGAATTGGTCTCTTGTTTGGTAAATAAGTTTAGGAACACGTTCATTTTCAGTTTGATTAGTTGAGAGATTTTGGGAGAATTTCTCACTATAAATAGCTCTTGTAAGCTACTGCAAAAGAGCAGCCAGTACGTTCAATTTATTTCATTCTCTATTTTTTTGAGTCTTTTTCATCAAGTAATAAAACTCAGTTAAAATATCAAACTTGTTGGTCTCATGCTCCTCTATTTTCCTCTATTCTTTCTTTTCTGTTTTTCATCTTCTCTGGTATTATTATATTTTTGTCAGAATTTGTTTCATGATCGAGATTCCTAATTTACGAGGTATCTCTTCCCTGGTTTAAAAATGGAGAGATTTTGAGGCCGAGGCCAGGTGCTTTCAAATTAATTCACCTTTATGTTTCATCAGGAGTAATTCGAGCACCACTTTGGCAGAGAACGTTTCTAATGTTTGTGAAGTTAGGTTCGACTTCGTTATGAGTTGGGCAAAAAGATAGTGTCGTCGAGAATGGGGCAAAAAGAGGTGGGAAAGGATGGGTTGAGGTGGCCGACGATGACTGGCATGGAGGTGGTATTTATGGGTTTTGGGTGAGGTAGTAGGTGTGTGGTGAGGTGAGGTGAGGTGAGTGAAGAAAATGAAGTGGATGGGTCGTGGATGATGAAAATTTTTGTTTTTTTGTTTTTTTATTCTAAGTGATGAAAATGCCCCTGTTTAAAATGGTATCTAATTTTTCCATTTTTCAGGTCAACTAACAGTGGAATTCACGTTTTCCGTCGTTTTGGACTTCGGGTGCTAATTTTCCAAAGGTTTGGGATCGTTGGTGGCACAAACTGAAGGTTAGGGTAAAGTCTGTAAAAAATTCAAATGTTTGGGACCGTTGCTGCAATTATCCCTATGATTAATCATGATTGATATATATATTGATTAAATCTTTCCATAACTTAGGCTAATCTTGTATCCTAAATTAGAAGTTTATTTTTTCTTTTTTATCGTTGTACTATAAATATGATGTAATACGTGTGTACAATTCAATGAAGAAATACAGAGAATTCTTATTTCATTCTTCATTATTATTTATTAAGATTTTCTTTTTAGTCAATTATTTGCCTTTCGATCGAATACACGGTTAAGCAGATCACAAACGCTACAAGTGTAGGAACGATCCTGGTCAGCGATAAACTGGTATTGACCTTATCAATATCTCCAATCAATGTATGAGGTTATCCATTTCGTAATTTAAGTTTTAATGGAGTAACCTACAAGTTCTCGCTTTATGTCTTACCGTCATATAATTAATTTATGAAAAATGCCACGTAGCCTCTAATTAATTTAAAAATATATTTAAAAAAATTCTTTACATTTTACTATTTAAACTTTTATGGTGAGGTAATTGAACAGAGAAAAAATGGAGTGACTTGTTTACAAATGAGTGAGTAGATTAGCTGCTACAAAACCAAAGAATTTCATTCATATATCTATTTACAAAGTTAGAAGATACACACATCCTCTGATGACCACCACCACCTACCAAAGGAAATTTACACACTGAAAATAATAGTTAAATGATGTACTAACAATTCACTATGCCAACTTCGGCTCTTAACGATGCAAAAACTAGGACTTTTTCATGAAAGAAACGTCATGAAACTGATAACAAGTAGCTATTTTTCCTTCTTTTTTTCTGTCACAAAGATGATCAGTGATCGACCTTGTGAAGTATTCATCATGTCTAAGACTCTAAACATAATTTAAGTTGATTTACTGCACGAATTCCACATAACTTTAGCCGTAGTCAACTCTCAGTCGCTTCAACTCGGCCTGGAAACTTGGGCTGGACTTTAAAATTCGATATGCAAGAGTCCTTATGTCCTCTCGTGAACAATCTCGTGATATACGAACAAGCTCCCACAAAGCACCTCCATTTATCATATCCTTTGTGTTGGCCTCTGAAATGTAGTGATCCAAGCGTTAAAGGCACGATAAATCTCAGAGTTTGAGTTCAGATCTTATGAGATAAAGTAAATTGTACCATGTTGTGCTAAATGGCAAAGCGCTAGCTCAATGTGACGCCGGATTTGTGAGGCTTCATTGTTGGCATTCTGCACAATCCATGGAAGGGTTCCATCTTCAATGAGGAGAGACTTCCCAGCTTTAGTTCCTGCAATAACAAGACAATAACTTGTACAGAGAATTTCACACAAGTGTTATAAAAGCATAAAAACCGGATTTATGTAGTGCAAGTGCAACCTGCCTTGTCAAATCCAAGATGCAGGTTAAGTACGTGTTTGTCAAAACTTATAGTTGCTTATTAAGTAGTGGGTTTCCAAAAACATGTGGTTATAAAAAAGGTAAAAGTCGTGGATCCTAATAAATATGTGGATGAAAATAGAGTTTGACCAGTTTATAAGAAATTATAAGCTTTGATTAAATCAACCTGCATATTTACAAATACCTATGGGTGAAACCTGGTGACGAACCATCTCGTATAAAAACTTGAGCTATTAGAAGAAGGGAAAATTTATTTATTTAGCCCCCGTTTGACACCTATTAATTTCTCATTCTCATTCTTCATTTCAACCACAAATTCTCCAAATAAAATAATATTACACACAAATCTAAAACTTTTCATCACTTTTCCACCACACATTCTCTCATCTATCACTATTCCAAAAATTTTCAACCCATTAAAATGGGTGTCAAACACTCACTAAGATTTCTATCAATCGCTATTCCAAAATTTATATTCTCTTCAAAAATAGATTCAAACACAAGCTTATTCAAATTGTGTCTTCAACACTCATCATGTGCAAACCCAAAAAAATAAAAAATAAAAAAAGACACAATTTTTTTGTAAATGAGTGGTAGGTAGACAAGCACCCAAGATCTTTCCATGCTTTTTATGTGATGAAGAATTGAAAGAAACAATTCTAACCGTTAATTTGAATAACTGTACAAGAATGGTATATACAATATTCAACTAAGAGCCAAAAATGTATAGATCACAACAAATATGGCTTTCAATGAAATTAGCCTAAATGTCGAAGTTCCCAAACTGTGGTTTATCTAGAGGTGTAACTCTTCCGGACTACTAAAATTAGGTGGTCCGGGCACAGGCAGTCAGGCCTAACAGATTTTGTTTGTTTTTAATTTTTGTTTTTTTTGTAGAAAAATTGATTTTTCCTTTGGGGCTCAGCAGAGTCCAAGACCACACTATGCAGGGCTCTATGCAAATAATCTTTTGCCCCCCATCTATTCCTTTCTCTATATTTTCAAAAAAGAACTGCCTACGACGTCAATAAAGCCAGGGTGGGCCAATGTCCCCTAGAATGTGCTTGTTTGGTAGTGCTGACAAGTTGTGGGTCCTCTAAAAAGTGTGGCTAATAAGTGAGTAGTCAGATGTGTGCCCTATGAAGTGTGTGAATAAAAAGTATGTTTGACCAGTTTAGATTATAATATAAGCTTTGTCAAATATGCTTCTAGACGCTTTGGGTTATTAGAGGATAAAAAATATTTAATAGTGCAAGAAGAGCCTAAACATGCATGCATAATCATGGGATACATGTATGGGTTTTGCTTGTATGTGTGAAGGTGCATGGATGGGTGTACAAGAGATTCACCTTGTGTGGATATTGTTCTCGACTCACATTTAGCAAAGTTTGCAATTCCACGAGCTACTTGAGCAAGAACATCTGGATGCCTACATCTAACCATTCCCAGCAAGGCACTAATACCACCATCTGCTCTTAACTTCACCTGTAACTTATCTGGGAATATAAAATAGATAATGGTAATTAAAAAAAAAATAACAAAAGGAATGAATGGTGGCTCCACTTTACAGACAGGTCCCACAAACTTCAAAGAGACAGTCTACGGAAGCAATTAGCTTTCAAAACCAGTCTAATAAATTAGGAAGACGCTAATTTGATTGATTAAGTATAAAACTATAATCCTTACTTGAGAGCAATCATGAATTAAAATAAAATAAAAAATATGAAAAGCATATATATGCATAGATTTACAGTGCTTCATCCTCAATATGAGATCTACGTCCTCTTCTTGTCAGAACTTCTTTATTTAATTAACTTATGTGGAATTCCTATGACTTCTACAAAAAAAGAAACGGACCAAATCCAGAAAATAAAATATATTGAATGGCCTATCAACTTACCATTGCCGCAAAGATTAGCAATGGCTCCAGCAACCATGCGTAGTGTTTGAGGATCCTCTGCATTGGCTGCCGTTAATGATAACAAACTTATTCCCCCTTGAGCCATTATGAGCTCCTGATTGGTTTCTGTTTATCACCAAGAATCAAATTCATAAGCAAATAACACTAAGATATCAACTCTGTACCTAAATCATTTCAGTCCAGCTAATGACATATTACCATTCATTGCAAGATTAGCAATTGCCCCTGCTGCAACTCTGTGAATGGTCTCATCGTTGGAGCTTCTCAGGAGTGTCAGCAACGATGTAAGACCGCCAGCTTCCACAATCTTTTCCTGATTTGTCTCTGAAAAGTATAGGAGAGAGTAATAAATCATCTAAATAGGACGAAAAGCTATGCCCTTGTTTGATCCCCATTTTTCTCAAAATACATTTTTCTCTCTTCTTTTCAACCACACATTCTTCAATAAAATAATATTACAAGCAATCCAAAAACTTTTCCTTCATTTTTAATCACATATTCTCTATCAATCTACTATTCCAAAATACATTCTACTCCAAAAATGAGGTTCAAACATGCCCTATACTTGTAGCAACCTTCAAAATAACCTCGGTTGACAACAACTCATTCAGACCTTCATTAAACCTATGCATGATGGCCAGTTATCTAATAAATAACGTAAATACAGCAGAAAGAAATGGGGGTTCCCTAGTAGCCTTTATATCCGTCAGTTGAAAAAGCCATATTCATATATTTTCTCTACTTTAATTCCCTCAGGGCCACTGAGGTGAGTACCCGGCCGTAAACTTCAGGGCACCGTGGAATTAGTTGAGGTGCGCGTAAGCTGGTCCGAACATCCACGGTTAAAAAAAAAAAAAAAAAAAAAAAAAAATTTCTCTACTTTAATTGAAATGTGTGAATTGATAAAGTTTAAACAAAATACTACTCCAGTGACAATATGAAACGTGATATGACAGCGCAACAGGCTGTTTGATCTGGGTTTTAAATTTTAAATTATTACTTTTTTGGTTGGAACATTCATTAGTGGTAATGCAGTCCCCTTTAGCTTCTTATGGCCTGTGCAAATCATGTCCGGTCATAAAGTTTCAGGCCGCGTGCTTCTAAAGTGGGAGAAAGTACATCCAATTTATTTTAACAAATTACGAGCAAATAACAGTGTTTTAAACACCAATTCTCCTTGTCCTGGTAAATTAGGAATTGTTGTTTTCACAAACTAAAAAGAAAAGAGGGGGGGGGGGGGGGGTGTTTAAACTGCTCGAACCTGCCAAATCAAACAGAGTTACTGCATTTTCATGATATGCAGCGACTTTGTTTCAATCCTTAAAACTGAGTTGAATAGTTCAAGTTGAAAAAGCTCCCAAAACACCATTTCTGGTAACCCTTATAAATGTAACTGAATATTGTTGAACACAAGAACACGGATAAAACAATGTGGAAAATAATAGAAGGTAGGTTATAGAAGCTTAAGATCAGCACCTTCTGCTGCCAGATTTGCCACTACTTTAACAGCATGAATACGTACGTCAGCATCATCTGCCTCAAGTAACGACAGTATTTTGTGCAGTCCCACTGTTGCAATATAGCAGATATCAGAAAATGATCACATAGAAAACACATAATACAGAAAAAATAGTGAATATGTTTGACTAAGCTTAAAAATAAT